CCTACCTCGGGAACCTTGCGTGAAGTATGTGCCCTTCTGTGTGGTAGTTTTTCTATCGCTACCACTGGATGTTTTGCGAGTCTCGTCTTGTGATTTCGTGCGTGCACTTGTTACAGAAGATGTTACGGAAGAAGTTTCTCCTGCGTTGTAGGAGCATAGAGAAATGTGTGATCTCCGTTGCACCTGGGACAATTCCTTTGAAAGCAAGCGCGACTTCTGTGGTCGCTCGCAAAGCATTTCCAGCAGACGGGTTGACCCCTCAAGTGCGTTTCGACGATCGATTGGGGTTCGTACTGTGCGGCAATCCTTTGTTTGGTGGTTATTCCTTTGGCAAAATAAGCACGATTCTTGCTTGGCAGTCTTTGCGCGTTGCGCTGTTTCAGCATTGATCCGTCTTGAGGTCAATGACGCATATCTGTTTTCAAATAGTGCTTTGGAAGAAACATGTTCGTGAAGTTCCTCCAAGAGCCTACCGACTGTTAGTTTTGAGTCGGTTGAGGATGCTTTCATACAGTCTTTTATTATATCATATGGGAATTTCGCGAGGATCGTGTCGATCCACATCGGGTCATGTTTCTTGCGGATATCATACCCAGTGGCAACCATTTGGAAAACAAGATCATTTATTTTTTCGAGAGTTTCAACACATTTTTGGGCTGCTGTGGCTGCCTTTGGTAGGTCCAACAATTGCTGTACAATTTGGGACCTGTTATTCGCTTTATCGCCGAACTTCTTTTTCAGTACTTCGACAATAAGGTTATAATTGGAACTTCTCATTGGGATGCTTTTGATGGAATTTTGGGCTTTCCCGCGTATTGCGTCTTTGAGGTATAGGATCTTTTCTAATTCACTGAGTTGCGGGTTTTGATCAATTATGAGCGAGAAAGTGTCCCAAAACTCTTCCCAGGAATCGTTCTCACCAGTGAAATGTGGCAGTTTGATTTGTGGGTACCTTATTCTCAACGCTGGAGAGAATTCGATTTGGTCTTCGTCCGATTTTCCGTCCCATTGTAGTGGTGCTGGGGCGTTCGCGGGAATGTGCGTTGGATTGCTTTGAAGTAAGCCGCACGGGTCAGCCTCTTGATAGTCGTCCTCGGTGCATGGTTGCAAACCCTCGTCGACTTGGATTGCTGAACTCGATTGCATACGTGGGAGATCAATAATGGTTGCTTGGGTTTTGATTTCTCGCATTCTAGCGTTAAGACCCAAGACAACGCTTTCTGCTTCATGTTTCAATGCGCGGAAATCGTATTTTTGTCTAAATTCTTCGATTTCTGCAAGCATATCCTTTTTCTCTGCTTTTGGCACGTCGCCGTAGATTTTCATTACGTTTTCATAGACATTCTGGAGCGCGTGTAGTTTATCGGTCACAGTTTCATGTGCCGTTTGAAGTTCACAGAGTCTTTCTTCGCAGTAAATGCGGATTCGGGACCTATCTTCTGGGTGGTTTGTTTGGATGCGTAGTTTCCTTGAAGATGGTAACTGCCTCTCTTAGGGCGAGGTACTCATCCTCTAGGCACTGGAGGAGGAGAGTTATTTTGCTCATATTTCTCGAGCTTTATTGCTTCTAGGGAAATCAGCGGTTCTGTAACCTAAGATGAGGCAGAACAAGCTGATCGGGATTTGCCACGCGGGAGAGCTTGGATTGAAAAAGGCCGATGCACCAGAAATTTTATGTCGCGGCCCTTTCTATTTTCTTCAACAAACCAGTTGATTATATATATTTATTTTGCCAAACGATACAAAAGGATAAATGGAGTTATAGTGATACAGACCAACCGTCGCTCACTTGTCAGCGGGGTCAGCCCTCGTGGACGGCGCTCCAGCTGTCGGTAAAACCTTAACTGCCGGTCCGAGCGAGGGGAAAGCCACTCCCACTGACAGGCGGTGACCAAAACAAGAAGGACGTTGCGGGTGCAAGTGCATACCGCAACAACTATATACTCGCGATCGAAAGCCCAGAATTGCGAACTCTGTCACCGGTTTGACACTTTATGGAGATCAGTCCCCAGATGATGCGGACGGCAGAATGGAAACCCTAAATTGTCCTGTGCCACCTTACCATTAGTTCAGGAAATGACGACGCCGGGGCGACGGGCGCTGGGAAAATATATGCACTCTCATGTGCAAAGCAGATTGCAGAGGGTATATCATCTCAAGGTGGGCGAGTGGTTGAAGCGAGTCTTTTGTCCGGAAAGCTGATTGTGCGGGAATTACATTATTGGACGACCGAATCGTTGCCGCGCCAAGCGGACGTGCCACCCTTCCTCCAATTGAGCTATGGCCAATTGTCCGTTTGTCTTACTGCTGCACTTTAACAAAACTGCTCAGCGCTAAACTTTTCTATACAATCAGTTGATTTTCCTTGTTCCTGGGAAGTTTTACAGGAAGGTCTTTCAGGGCGTGCCAAGCTTTTTGAAAACGGTCTTTTGCATGATATAGGGGCAGATGCGGGAACCACAGAACCATGGTTAATTTTTCCTGAACGGCCCTCTGAATACCAGAAAAGGGGTCCCTAGTTCGATTCCTCGTGGTGACAAATTTTTGCATTTCGAGTTGACGTTCCAAATTCGCGCAAAATGGTTAGCATGAAAATTAGTACCATATTCATGATTAGGACCGTCAGTAACCTTACAAATAGACTTTGATTAAAAAACTGGTGAAAAAGGTGTGACACCACAGTGGGGCTGCTTGATGTCACACCTCTCACACCAATTTTTAAGTCAAAGTCTTTTTGTAGGGTTACTGACGGTCCTAATCATGAATATGGTACTAATTATTCATGCTAACTCCATTTTGCGCGAATTTTGGAACGTCAACTCGAAATGCAAAAATTTGTCACCACGAGGAATCGAACTAGGGACCCTTTTCTGGCAAGGCAGGGATAGCCGAGTGGTTAAGAGGTTAGACCCATGTCTGCACCTCTGAAAAACCGCGAGTTCGATCCTCCGTTCGAAACCATGCCCTGCAAAAATTGCAAAAATGGTTCTAGTACCAGCGTCAGGCCCAGGTTGACAGGCCGGCTGATGAACACCCCAGTCACAACAAATATGTCTAAAGTCGAAAAAGAATCAGTGATAAAGCTAGGACGTCACCCGGAAGTGGCGCGCAGAACCCCGCCCGAGTTCTGTGGTCAGTATGCGAGGGCTACCGAGGAGTGAACGGCCTCGGCCAAAGAAGCTAGTTCGAATTGGAACTGTGAACGTAGGGTCGCTAACTGGAAGGTCCCGAGAGGTTGCTGATCTGATGACGCGCAGAAAAATTCAAGTCCTATGCCT